GTGTTTACAGATTCATACTTTCTATTTCTGTTACCTCTTTTATTCTGCTCTTTTTAATCCCTTTGATTGAACTTGAACTTTCATTTAAACCGTGTTTCTGATTCTAAATAGTTTTTTATTGTCCCTGTAGCTTGAATCTTCGTCTGTGTGATGAAGTGAAATGTGATTTACGAGTTAAACTGCCTGAGCTTTACATTTAAATGACAAAATATTCAACAACAACTCATTTAATGTGAGACGTGAACCCAGACAAGTCTTTACAGTTCAAATACCGAAGGCACAGGTACCAGTAATCACGTGATCGGCCCTCAGCCAATCACATCAGCTCTACTCCTTTCACCTGTATTTCAAAATAAGAGCGTACTGCCAAGGTAACCCCTTAAATAAACACTGAATTAGAAGAAGGTGGTATCATTAGGATTATTTGAGCCTGAATCAGTTGAACCCTTTCTGAAGAACGGGATTACTGAGCCTGTGTTTCGTTCGTTTTCTCGTTGGTGTTGCAGCTGCAGTGTCTCATTCAAACACAGGAACATTAGAGAAGCTGTTGAAATCACTTTGACAGCAGAATAATTCGGCTTCAGGAGAAAATAACCTGCGCTTCAGGTTTCCTCTGATGGTTTCCCAAAATGTTTTGTCAGCTGCAGCGTGAGCCCACATTCAGAAACGCATCTTCACGTCTCCGTTGTTTTTCTTCCTCATCCACAAATGGAGCTTTTTTATTATGTAAATTATTTCCACGGTGAAAATATAGAAACAGCAGCTCGGTGTTTTAAAGCGTCCAGAGAAACGTGAGTTCACAGGAGGATTCTCTCTCTGACCTCAAACCTTCTGTGTTTTCTCACATGAACATTTGATCCAGACTTTCTCTGGAGTTTCACACGTGAACAACATGTGGACGGAGACGGTCCGGAGCCTCTGACTTCAGGCCAAGAAAACATTTAGTTTTTTTCTCTGACGGAGATTCAGGGTCATATCGAAGGAGAACAATCTTTAGACCACAAGAACTCTGTAATATTAGGAGAATCAAGACAAATCTTTTGTTAAATTTCAACTTCCAGGACGTTTTATCGTCGACCAGCTCTTTAGTTTTAATGAACTTCATTTCAAAGCTGTTGTTTTCTAAAGGTAAAAGTGTGTGTGTGTGTGTGTGTGTGTGTGTGTGTGTGTGTGTGTGTGTGTGTGTGTTCCTCTGATAATTAGCTGTAATTAACATCTCAGCAGAAGAAGAAGTGGGTGGAAGCTTTCAGGACCATTGATATGTTAATATGTAACAGACACACACACACAGACACACTGAGGCGTCGTTTTCATTTTCTGTCTCAAACCTTTTATTACGACGTGAAAGTGAAACTGATCATTAGAGACAAACTGTCGAGCTTCTGAATCGTATCTGTTGTTGTTGATCTTCTCTCATTTCTTTTCTTTAAATAAAAAGTCTTCTCTCTGTTCATTTGACGGTTTCTGATTAACTTTATATTTTTCAGTTTGATTTTGTTCTGATGGAGTCAAACAACAGAGAAACTGAAAACAGGATGAAGTTAGATTAGAGTTTGATGGTCAAAGGTCACGGTGACGTCACAAAACATGTTTTCACGTCTCTTTAACTCTTTGACTGGTTCTGTCTTTATTTTATTTTGTGTGTTTTCAAGTCTTTAATTTAATATTCAGGTTTTCAAGTTTGATTTTTCTGTCTCATTTTATTCTTTCCTCATTTCAACGTCTTTTCAAAAGACCCTTTTGTTCTTCTGTCCCTTCTCGAAGCTGCGTATGTTTTAATTTACCCCTCGAGACTTTGCTTTGCTCAAGGGCACCGAGGCAGACGGCTTCCAACCCGCAGCCATGGCAACAGAGACAGGCCCGTTACCATGGTTACCCCCAGAGAAAGAGGGGGAGAGGGGCAGAGCGAGTCTGTCGTTCATTCCTCCCCTCTTGTTCACGTCAGTTCAGGTTTCTGAGGCTGACAGGATTATAACCTGACATGAAACACACACACACACACACACACACACACACACACACACACTGAGTCTGTGACATTGAGAGAAAATGGAACTGAAGGCTGCAGAGTCACAGTAGAAATCAGACGCTATTTACCCTGGAGCGCACACACACATTCAAACACACACTCTGACTGACTGAGATCCACTATAGGAACACACACACACACACACACACACACTGCAGCTCTCTGTCCTGTGGATTTCAGGCACAGGATGAAAGTGTGTCTGAATCTGGGGATTCAGCAGCAGAGTAAACGTGGACGAGTCTTTCACACACTTAATAAAGGTCTTTTTAACCCTGGTTAAAAGTTCACTCGCCCGAATAATCAGGTTCTCCTGCTGAAATCCAGCTGTAATATCCTGCGCCGCCGTCATGGATACCCCCCCCCCCGGCTCGGACTCATCCCTCCAATAAATTTGCCCAAGTTTTAAATCACTCACAACTTGCTGGTGGATTCAGCGCTCGGGTGGGAGCGACCTGATGAGACATGAAATGAACTGAAATCACATCCCATCATAAAGTCAGTGAGTTACTTAGTAAGTTAAGCTTCATTTATTCATAAGGACCTGAGGGCAAATTACTTTTTTATGTCATTACAACACAATTCAGTCATACAAAGCAAAAAATTATCATTACTCTTAACTCAGTGCTGGCGGCAATTTACTGGATTTATTCCATTCATTAAAATTCTTGTTCACGATATGAAAGTCGAGTTCTTAACGTCACCAGCTGCAGTTTACATGAGTTTAACAGGACGGACTGTTGTTGTTGGGAGTCGCAGCACAAGTCTCCAGACTTTTCATTATTCCACACTTCGTCTTTGTGTGTTGTCGTCTGAGCTTCTCAGTTTTTCGTGGCTGCGTTGATGTCGGTGCATGTGAGTCGCTCCCTGTGAAACCGTTCGATGGCTGCAGCTCCGACTGGAAGTGACGTGAACACGACGTCCTCGGTGAGGGCAACGACACCGGAGACAGATCTGTCCTGAGTGAACCCGGCGTGTCAGCAGCGAGAGAAGTAGATGACTTCTTTCATTTCACACAAAGACACCGATGACCCAAAGTCCTGAAATCGATGACTGAACCCAAACCCGAACGCGGGGTACAGAGGCTCAGTGAACGTGGATTTGAACGTGTGGAGGTGGATCAGTGCGACAGAGGTCACTTTGTAGAAGGACAGAATGCCGGCCTGAAAGTCCAGGAAGACTGCCACTCTGTCCGAGGCTGGAGAGAACCGAGGCCGGACGTGTGAAACTTTGTTTCCGTGCCTGACGGAGAAGTTAACGTCACTGTGACACAGCAGCATCCAGGAGTGGTCGTTCGCACCGAGACAGCTGTCGGCACCCTCTCCTTTGCGGATGATTCTTTTGTACGTCACCGCAATATAAGCCAGGCCATTCCACTTGACCTCCCAGTAACAGCGGCCAGTCAGTCCAGTGCTCCCCAGCACCTGCAGCCAGCAGTCGAATCTGTCCGGGTGGTGACCATACGGCTGCTTCTCTTCCACGGTGGTCACCGTCCTGCAGCCGTCGGACAGTTTGAGGTTTTTCTGTGCTGAGTTTTCATCCAGGACGAGTTCACAAACATCTGAAGGTTTAAACAAGACGAGAAACTGCAGCAGTTAATCAACACGTCTACTGCGGATAACTTAATGTAAGAGTTCACACAAAGAGGAAAACAGCCGGACTCTGGCCGAAAGTAAATAAAAGTTAAACTTACATTTCTTCAGACCAGGACTCAGTCTTTGCTCTCCACAATAGTCGAAGCTTGAGGAAGAAACATAAAGTCATAATCAACCATCAACTCCTTTTCAGTGAGGCGTCGTCCGTTTCTTCATTTACACGTCTGTCCAGTAACTGTGAGTGTGAGTTCATACTTGAGAGTTTCCAGTGGATGGTTTGGATCCTGCAGGAGAGCGGACAGCACTTTCACTCCAGAGTCTCCGGGATGATTGAAGCTCAGGTCCAACTCTTTCAGGTTGGAGTGTTCGGACCTCAGGGCCGAGGCCAGGGCAGCGCAGCCTTTCTCTGAGATCACGCAGCCTGACAGTCTACACACACATTTATATGAAGAATTCTTTTAAAATCGTTAAAGCAGTGAATTTCCCGCCGAAACAGTTTTCTCGGAGAATATCTGGAGGAACAGGTCCAGACATTGTCCGCGGTTGAACTTAACCTTCGGCGGATGTCAACCAGCTTGTAACGGTCACCAGATGATCAAACGAACGAGCTCTTACCTGAGAGTTTGCAGGACACAGTTTGGACTCTCCAGTCCAACACAAAGAAGCTTCACTCCTGAATCCTGCAGGTTGTTGTCACTCAGGTCCAGCTCTCTCAGCATAGAGGACTCAGAGCCGAGCACTGAAGCCAGAGCCTCACAGATGTTGTCCGATAGATTGCAGCTACTCAGCCTGAGAACGTATTGGTCGGATAAAACTGTTTAAATAAAGTGAAACAATCCCGTAAGGATTTAGGTTGTTTGTCTACTTACAGTGATTTGTTGGAGGCCTTGACCACTGGTATCAGTCTGAGGAGACCCTCCTCTGAAGGACAGTATTTCTTCAAGTCAAACACCTCCAGCGTGTCTTCCGATGACAGCAGGATGAAGACCAGTGCCGACCAGTGAGCCGGAGAGAGATCGCTTGTGGACAGACTTCCTGAACTCAAGTTCTGCTGGATCTCCTTCACTAAGAAATCATCTCTGAGCTCATTAAGACAGTGGAATAGATTGATGCTCCTCTCTGGGGATATGTTCTCCCTTATCCTTTTCTTGATGGACTGGATCGTGTGTTGATGGTTGGTCTGAGGGAACCCCTTTGACGTATTCAGCAGACACATAAGGAGATCCTGATTGGTCTGCAGAGAAAGGCCCAGAAGGAAGCGCAGGAACAAGTCCAGCTGCCCATTTGAACTCAGCGCTTTCTGAATTGCAATCTCGTGGACCTCTGTCATGGTTTTTCTCCTGCAGAGCGTACACAGATCCTCCAGTTTTAGCTTTTGCTCCAACAGTACGTTCTTGTTGTCGTTAATGAGTGACATCACAACATGAAGGGCAGCCAGATACTCCTGAAGGGTCAAATGGACGAAGCGGAACATCCGCCCCTTATCGGTGTCCTTCCACTTGCGCACCTCTTTAAAGACCTCTGTGAACACTCCAATGTTCTGCGACACTTTGCGGAAATTAACGCCACTGTCCCTCAGATCTTTCTCATAGAAGAGGTTGCCTTTCTCCAAATGGTCGAATGCTAGTTTTGCCAAGGACTTGATGTACCGGATGCTCTTTTTTTTGCCACATCGCTCTCCTGTCAGCGTGATTTGATACATCAGGAATTCTGTGTACATCTCCGTCAACGTTGTGGGCAGATCTATGTTCGTTTTGGTTTTCAAAACATCCTGCAAGACTGTAGAGGTGATCCAGCAGAAAACTGGGATGTGACACATGATGAATAGGCTTCGTGATGCCTTGATGTGGGCGATGATTCTGCCGCATTGTTCCTTATCGGGGAACTTCTTCTTGAAGTACTCCTCCTTCTGTGGATCAGTGAATCCTCTCACCACTGTCACTCTTTTGATAAAATCTCGATGGATCTGACCGGCTGCTGCAGGTCGTGTGGTTATCCAGACCCGAGCGGAGGGAAGCAGATTCCCACTGATGAGCGCAGTCAGCAGGACCTCCAACGAGGACGACTGTGTCACATCAAAATCAACCGGCTGAGGCTCAGCTCGCATCAAATCCATCTGAATGCGGCTTTCATCCAATCCGTCCAACACAAACAGGAGTTTATATTGACTGTTGTTAAAGTCGCGGCTTCCGGATGCCTGTAGTTTTGCAAAGATAACGTTAAGATCTTCCTCGGTGATGGCTTTGGTTTCCCAGATACTTCGATGAATCAGCTCGGCCAGACTCAACCTTTTTCCCTTCAGTAAATTCAGTTCGCTGAAGCTAAAGGGAAATATCAGATGCACGTCTTGATTCTTTCTTCCCTCGGCCCAGTCCAACACAAACTTTTTCACAAGGAATGTTTTGCCAATTCCTGCAACTCCAGTCGTCAGCACTGTTCTTAAGGGTTTACCAATGGGGCTCTTGAAGATGTCACTGGGGTCGATGGGTTTCACTGCTGCCGTCCTTGAGTTCCTGATCAGCATGATCTCATGCTGTTCGTTGATGTGTATTTCCCCCCCGTCTGTAATGTACAGCTCTATGAAGATGTCTTCCAGGCACTGCTCCTCTGTACTCTCGGCCATGCCCTCTTGAACACACATAAACTTGCTCTGGAAATTAGTCTGTATCGTGCGTTGAAACTGTTGGATCTGTTCTTCTAGAGGCTGTAGCACGTGCATCTCCACATCTGCAAGAAACAAAACGAACAAATTCGACCGATGCTTGTGAGACAGTTTCATTTTTCAAATAAATAAGCTGCAAACATTGAAGGTAAGAACGGCCTTGTAACCCCAGTCGGTGAATTTTTACGAGCCAGACATGCTTTTATTAATACATAACATTAAATTCCTGGATGGTCGGGTCTGGCCCCCTGTGATCGTTACGAAGCTCTCACGAATTTACTTCCTCTTCTCATCATGTTGGCCTCACAAAGAACATCTTTACCTTCAGCTCTGCTGTCGGCTGGAGGGTGAGGAAGAGGAGCAGCCTGCGGTGCAATGGACGAAGCTCCTGTGTCTTATTCCAAAAAAGAAGATGAAGATTTTTTTACATTCGCAGAAACATTATTCCACTTTTTTTGTTCAGAATGCGTTTTGAAGAATTTCTCTTTGTGTTTCCACAGCTTACCTTTTAGTTCTGACCTTCTGTCTGACAGATACTGCACCAGCTCAATCATGCTCATCTTCCCCAAAACCGTCTCAGCCATCTCCACAACGTGATGGTTGTATTTCTGCACCATCACTGTCACAGTTTCCAGCCTGTCTGCCGTCTCCAGTTTGTACTTCGGGATCGGGGCGAAGCTGCTGTAGATCTCCGGCAGCTGCAGGTACCACTTGAAAGTCTTAAAATCGTCATGTCCCAACTGTTCCAGGGTTTCCAGAAGCAGCTCCTCCACGGTCACCATCGCTGCGTCACTTACTGAAGCTTCTGTTTCCAGCAGCTCGACCTGTTTCAAATGAAACTATTCTTTCCAGTCAAATGTTAGACTTTTCTTCTTCCTCCTCCTTTGTCAAACCTCTTCTAACAGTGTTATCAGTGTTCATAAAAACTGGTGCGTCACGCTGCCAGTAAAGAGTCAAAGTCCTCACTGAAGCTATATAACGCCCAGGTGGGAAATTCACACAGTCACAAGCCATGGAGCAGTCAAAGGTTATCTATCACAGATTTTCTCTACAGGACTTCCTCCCTCAAATGTCTTCGTTCATTCCCCTCTGGTGGTGTCTCTGCGTAACGCTGCAGGAAACTTCATCCTGCTACTTTTTACCGGCTTTTTTCTTACTTCAAATTTTTCATCACGGTGGAAATTAGCTTCTGAGGCCCACCGCCCACAGAGATCGTGCATCCACTGCACCTCTGTCCATCCCGGGCGAGGGATCCTTCACATGTGGCTCTCTCTGAGGTTACAGAGGATGTTACACCTTGCTGAGGCAAATTTTGATTTGTGAATAAAGCGTTACACAAATAACATTTTACTGATCGACCTCAGATGAGCAGAAGATGAAGCAGATAGACTTTCTGCCTGATTCTGAAAATCTCAGCCGTTTCCCGAACATGGCCTCTGAATCTCTGCAGAGTCGACGTTTGGATTGTTGTGTCTTGTTGCTCGTGTGTGTGGTGTTTATCTCCCTCCGCTCCATGTATCTGCTGATTGCTGCTGACACACACACACACACAGTCTTGACACTACAATAATTATTACACACAGGCACACTCACAGAGAGCAGGGGTGTCAGATTAATAGGTGCCTCAGGCTGCAGATAAAACTGTAATCATCCATCAGCTCTGACTGCTGATATTCTCCATTAATAATCACACACACTTCGTCTGTCGTCTGTGTTTCTTCTTCTCTGAGGAAGAACCAATTTGCTCTGAACATTTCCATTGAACGCTGTCGTCAGCTGATTGGCTGAGAGAAGGCTGAACGACGAACCATCAAAGTGCCGCAGAGCGTTTTAAAACTCCAGTTTGTTTGCTACAAAACATTTTTAATTTAATGATGTGATTAAATACAAAGTGGATCTTTGAAGGAAAAGTTTAAAGATACAGTTATTACTGTTGGATAAAATGCCACTGTGACCTGGACAGCAGCCGCTTAGCTTAGCTTAGCACAAAGACTGGAAACAAAGGGAAACATGAGCCCAACCTCGTCTGAATCATCAATAGTTTAATAAATAACTAATAATGATAATAACTTTATCTGAAGTTTTTTAAAACAGCAGTTGTTCCTGACGGTCAGTTCAGCCCTGAGGTCAATATAATTCTGAGGTATTTATACTTTACTGTTTTTATCTGACTTTAAATCATCAGTGCACAATATCAAACTTTATGACAGAGTGGTTTTAGTAAGTAGCACAGTAACATATGTAATGAATAATCATCACGACGAGAGAATGAATTCTGTCTTAAAGTTATATTATTTTATAACAACAGTAAACACAACACATTGTGCGTTGTTCACAGTTGAGTAGACGAGAGAACAGGAAAGTCTGAAGTCATGCTAGCACCCTCTAAAGGCCACTTTACTCATTACACCCTAGAGCAGCAGTATTTAGATCCTTCACTGAGGTCAAAGTAATGATTTCACAATACTCCATTACAAGTAAAAGTATTTCAAGATTATAATCAAGTAGATGCATTTGAACAAATACGGAATACAAGACTGTTTGACTGTTATACTTCTATATACTGTTAAAGTATTACCTTTCTGAACGATTTAATTATTTCAAATATCTTACATTGTGCGATACTTCATGATGAGAACAAACATATATCAGGACTCATGAGAGCAGACATTCTCAGAAGAAGATGCGAGCGGTGGAAAGTGAACCTGCGGCTGCAGAACGCCCCTCACCATCAGAGGATAGAGAAAGTGTAAATCTGCTTAACAGACTTTGGCTTCGTGCAACTTTAATGTGAGGAGCTGCAGTGGAAACTCTGCTGACATTACAGAGAGCTGCAGAGCCGTGTGACTGACAGGCTGTGTGACTGGTGCTGGATTTACTTGAAGTTTGTAGTTAACCTGCCGCAGGGTTCGTTCTACATTTCTAGTATCAGTGCAGGTACAAGACCAACGAGTCTGACAGTGTTTTACTGGAACTGCATTTATTTCATATTAAGAGTGTGCAGACGTGCTGGTGGATCTATTACGTCAACACGTTGTCATACTCACAAACAACGTCACGATTTACTCAAAAACATAAAAAGAAAAAAAACCTTTGGATTAGAACAAGTAGGAGGAGTCGACATGAGCAAAATGTGAAGTAAAAAAACTTTAACAACCTTAAAATGGCCAAATGAAATGTTTCATGAGACATATCGATTAAAATGACTGAAACCAAACCTGCAAAATAAAGATCATATATGTTGAATAAAACAGCAACAAGTGGACGATGGCAGATTTAAGATCGTGTTTGGAAATGTAGAAGTGAACTGTTGCAGCCAACAGCACATTAATGAGACGTGGACAGATTCTCTGGTTGACTTGTTCCCAGTGAAATAACTGAGAGAGCTGAGTTCCTCTGTGTTCTGCTCGTGGAGATGATTCCATCATAATGTAATGAAAGCTGTAATTAATCAACCTCTGGTTCGTTGAAGTGAGATGAATGTACTTTTAAATGTCTGTACTCTCTGCATCCTCCCAAAACTACATCTCAAAGTCTGTACAGGCTTGATGGATTATGGTAATGAGGCCAGGTGCATGATGGGAGAGGAGATGAGTGTGTTAGGGGGCTGGTTGTTAGGATATGAGGCAGATTATGGAAATGTGATGGTCTGGAATTCAGATTTCTTCTGCCGCTCAAAGACTTAGAGTCTTATCTCAAACAGATTAACTCTGATCTGTCTCTCTTCTACCTGTCTGTCCTCTTTCTGTCTGTCTGTCTTCCACAGTGTCTCTCCCTCCGTCTCTCTCTCTCTGTCTCTGCTCAACAGTTTCCTTCTCGACAAGGGAATCAGAGAAACTTACTTTTTCACTTTGGTCCCGTGATCTCAATAAAAACCTCTTCAATGCTTCTTTTGAAAATCCTCTCACCTCTTGACCATTGAAATCCAGCTGAGGCCGATTCTTTTTATAAACTCCGCTAATTTCTGTCTCAAAGTTTAAACAGACTCTTTGTTTTCAGGTAAATGGAAGATTTTTTTTTGGCTCCAGAGAAAACGGGTGAATCAGCGTTGCCATGTTTTACAAAATGAGATTTCAATTACAGGGAGACAGATGAGTGTATCAGTGATGTTGTACCTGTCCATCTTCCCTGCAGCTTCATTAACTTCCTGTTTCTGAACCTCGCCTCTCATCTCCTTGACCGTGTCTTCTTAAATGAGCTGTCAATCAGCCAGCCGCCCCCCCGAGGCACAATTACTCCGACGTTATTACCTCAACGTACAAGACGGAGGATTAAAAACACTTTCTGTGCTGAAACCGCAGAAGACTGCACCTGACGCAGAGCGAGGGAAACCACAGAATACTGATTCAACTTTGATACAACTGAGAGAGGAGAAGACAGACGCCTCTGAAGACAGTCATTGTTCATGTGTTTTCACAGTTTAGATATGAAAAGGTGATGATCTGTGGTTTAATACCAACAAAATATGATCATAGATTTACACCAACAAAAGCCAAACTGAGACTTTCCTCTTCAGACTTCTTAAACTCCTTCCAGGACTCAGACGACCTCCTCAAGGACAGTTCTAGTCTCCTCGATCCAGTTAAAGAACCCTGACAATCCCCTGCACCTTCTTCAAACACTTCCTCAAGGACCCTGAAATCTCTACAGAGACAAACAAGTTCTCTGACAAACCAGTCGAAGACTCGATGCTGCTTACAACCTCTGGAGATCCTTCCAAAACCACTCCCTACTCAAGGCCTCCTGCAGCCTCCCTTTAGAACCCAACCCTTTGTGCTGACATCCTTCAAGGACCCTTAACCTGTTTAAAGACCCCGCGTCCTTGTCAGAGGCGGCTCCGGCCTCCTCAAGATCTTCCACAATCACTTCTAGAACCCTGGAGCTTCTTCAGTGAGCCCACAACCTCTTCACTGACGCAACGTTTCAACCTCCAAGGACTCAAATGTCCTCATGGACTCCTACAACGTATTTGAGGTCTCAAAGACCCCAGAGCCTCTATTTATATACTCACATACTTTGATGTGTTGTAGTTTAGAGCTGCAGCCAGGAGATGGCGCCGAAATGCTACGTGGAGTCAGAGTCTGAAGTTTCACAAACACTTTCTGTCACAATCTGTCTTTCTGTTTTTATTCTTACAAAATACATGAACCCCCATATCTGTCAATGGACATTTAAAGTTAAACACAGGATGAGAATCAAGCAGCTTTGTTTAGATTCAATAACAATTCTTTAATTTACTATTTTATTTAAAAATCATCCAAAATACAGTTTGTATGAAACCTCAAAGTAAAATTCAATCAATATATTAAGAATATGATGTGACTGTCAGACTCTGATGTGATGAATAAGTGTCATTCTATCTGTCACTGTCTTTTTATACTGAGCAACAAAGTTCAGTATTTAAAAGTCCATAAAAAACTTGATTGAAATCTGCTGATTTTAGCTGTAAATGCCACAAAACTCTATTATAAGTATATTAACAAGTTTTAAACATTTTAAATTAGGATTAAAAAACAGTACATTTACATAAAACCTCCTGAAGGACAGTTTCTCAAGACCCAACCACCTCCTCTGCGTCTCTAACTCCCTGAAGGACAGAGACCCTCACTGTTCAACCTCCTCCAGGACGCTCTCATTCTCCTCAAGGACCCTGAACCTCAGTGTGTACTTCTACAACCTCCTCAGAGATTCCTACTACATCTTCAGTGAAACAACACAGCCATGCAACTTTTCTCAATTAGTCCCACATTCTCTTTAAGGATCCTTAAAACCTTCCTACAAC